GGGTGACTGCATTCAATTTCGATTTTTTCCAATTCATTTTTCACCGGTAGGTTCACCCGCTCTTATCTATGGAATTTTAGGGTAATTTCATGCGTAGATTTTGGAAACTCTCGCTTTAATTGGATTAATATTCTTCGTGCGGAATAATGGTAACTCAACTGCCAAGCTGCATTTGGAAAGGAAGGGAAGTGCTTGCTTTAATAATTCATCTTGTTATCTGCCAAGGGCAAGAGTGTCGGATAGGCATGAATTTTAACCGAAAGAAAAACGGCAACGGCAAAACGATAAAAAAAACACGGGTCCAACGTCCACCACCCTCCACCCTTGACCGCCTACCTTTTAGTTCACTTAGGATCAACAACTCAATGCTCATGTGACGTAATTCAGCAAATCGTGAAGAAAGAGGACTACTGGTAAAAGAAAACAATGAGTAAGATCGAGGCGAATAGTAGTGACAGAAAGTCGAACACTTACAATGACATAAATCAATCTTTCTCAATCACCCACCCCACCACTTAGTAGGAAAGTCAATGCGCCTATTCATGGGATTTTTGATGGGAAATGTCTGAGACAAGATTTATGCGACCTCTGATAAGTGGAAACTGGAAACTGGAAACCAGTAAAGTGGTTCACTGATACAACAATGCAACCTGGAATAGCTAGCTACTCAAATAGGCCAGTCTAAAGTGTTGTATATTTCGATATCCGAAAAGCGTTTGTTTAAGTGCACGATCCCATCTTATTTCAAAAGTTTGAACATTTTGGGATTACATTCTCATTCTAGAAACTAGATTGGGAACTTCTTCACAACCGAACTTTCCCATTCAAAATACAAGATATCTTCTTATGGCTCGGTAGGGTAAAATTTGGAGTTCCCCCAGACGCAGTCCTGTGGACGGTTCATACGTAGTAACTTGCGTACTTGGGAAGAAGGGGACAGATTTTACATGTAATCTTCACACAGGTATCAAGTTTTACAGACGACCCCCCCCCCCCAGACATAAATTCTCAGCCACCTATAAATAAGGTTGTGAAATTAAGTCTAAGTCAAATCATCTCCTGCTGTTTACTGAAAAAAACACATGCCATGCGTGTAGGTAAACATGTTCATAATTCATCATATCCTTGGATGGCACCGAACTCAAGGAAGCATCTGAGCACGAAAACTAAGTTTTCTTTATGAAAAACTCTGCTTTTTCAAGTATCGTGGGTCTTCAGTCACTGAAGCTTTTTAAGCACTTTTTAAGCCTTTTGAAATCCATTTTTGATCCTTTCGTGTTTCGTTCAAAAAATCCCAGGCTTCAAAACGTGACAATGAGTTCACCCTATTCTTTGGTATGGAATCACTGTGCACAATCCCTGCAGAAAGGCGTTAACTTCTGGGAGAGAGTGCAAAACAGCTTCACTCGCAAACTAATACTTCGCTGTCACCGTGAAAGTATTTTGACATTTCTGTAGAGCGAAAAAAGAACTTCGGCTTGAAATCTTCTGAATGGAGGGGGCAAAGGCTCGTTCCTTTATTGGCTTATGAAATTTACAGTGGTGAAATTATTGTGCGCTATAATCTCATTCCATCTAGCTAATCTTTTTTTATTTAAAAAACGGTCCGAAGAAGATCCGATTTGTATGGACGTAATTTATTCCGCCGGTTAATTTTCCGTTGGATGACTTACTTGTTGTTGTTACTCACATGTGAGATATGTCTTTCATAGAGCACGTTTACTTTCTCTGCTCCTTTGGTTGCTAAGCATGACAGTCCCTATTACTTCTAACCTATTGAAAGACCCTCCTGTTAAAAGCCCATCGAAATGCGTACCCACTCCAGCACTACAATGGAAAGTAAATTGTAAGACGCATTTTTGAGCAGTCATGTCAGTCCAATAACCTGAGAGCAGACCGCACCTCCTTCGACAAATTCAATCTTCAAGGCAGTGCTGGCCGAGAATGACTTCTTTCAATTTCAATCAAACGACAATACACAAAACACATTGGACTATTCTCTCGGAATGGCCACCGCTTGGT